AAATATCGACGAATTTGCGTTTTTACACAAAAAGCGTCCCCAAGACAAACGACACACCCCGCGCGGCGGCAAACGCACGTGCTACCTTGTTGTTGTTGTTGTTGTTGTTGTTGTTGTTGTTGTCGTTGTTGTTGTTGGCTGCTGCTGCTGCTGCTGCTGCTGCTGCTGCTGCTGCTGCTGCTGCTGTTGCTGCTGCCACCGCCGCCGCTGCTGCTGTTGTTGTTGCTGCTGTTGCTGCTGTTGTTTCTTACTGCTGCTAGGATGGTCAACAGAAAGATTGGGTGGAGACTTTCTCTTTGCGGATTGATGCTGTGCCTTGTCGATTTGGCTTGGTGGTCTCTGAGATCTCATGTCCTCGCCCCTCTCTCGAGCACTCTAGGAAAGCCTTACAGAGCTAAGCAATAGGGTGTGGGGAGCTTAGGGTCGTCGGCCGTCCTCTGGGTACGGTGCAGTCCCCTAAACTCGCAACTACCAGACCGGCTGAAGTTCGCGCACCCCTCTCTACTGTAGTTCTGACGTTTGTAAAAAAAAGCCGGTGTCCCACTCAATGCGTTGAACTGGACCCTATCCAATGTTAATCAAACCAAACCTCAAATCTCAAGTCTACACCCAGAGCCCAAACCCTAGAGTCTAGGCCCAGACCCTGGCCATATGAAAGTCTCCTGACCCTGCGTCCCCTTCCCTTTGCAGGCTCGCTCGTGGCATCTCCCAACCTGGTGGTCCAGGTCCTCCGGTGCCCTCCATGCCCATGCCGGCGCTCTCCCGGGCGGCCGGAGCCTTGTGCCGATTGTAGTGGGACTAATTACTAGTTGTTTCTCCTGTTTCTCTGGCTGCCAGTCCGTCATGACTAGCATTTCAGTTTCGGCTGCTTCTACAGAGTAAGTAGAGGCCAACAAGCTCGAAGAAAATGAGATTGCTTGTGCCGTTTTTATTTGGTTCTGCATGTGGGTCAGGGGATACCAATGTTCAACACATATACATCATTCTGTATTCTGCAGATGCACAAATACATACATACATACATACATACATGCATGCATGCATGCATGCATGCATGCATGCATGCATACATACCTAGATAGGTGCGTACATGCGGACATACGTACATCATGGATGCATGCATCTAAAATTGCACAACCATATCTACATCATGTCTGGCAATGTGAATGTTCAGCTGAACTCTTTACTCACTATGACATATTTTGTGTGCAGTGGCCACCTTTGTAGGCCTCCGAGCAGCGATCCTCGCCCATCGTGCTGCCCCAGAGCTGCAAAGCAGTTCAGGATTTTGGGCTGCTTTGGGTTTGGTGTTCAGTGTTTGGGTTTCCGGGAGTTGCAATTTGGCGAAAGAGAGTTGTAAGCCGTAATAGTTTTCGGATACGGCCAGGTGCAGGCATCACGGGATTTGTCCGTCTGGATATGTTTTCCTTCTTGGACATCTTCTCGCACCATCGCACATGACAGGAGCTGTTCATGTCTGGGTGACAATTACAGAGCCGAAACTTGGCCAGGGCGTTACGTTCGCGGTCAGAATGCGGTACACGGGGCACCACAAAAGCCCTGCGCCGTCGGCTAAGGACGCGGGTTGTTTCCACACCGCTGGAACAGGCTGGGGGACGTTCGGCCGACCGATTTTAAGCTCAGGGACTTCAATGTGGCAGTTTCCCTCAGCTGTCTTTTCTCCGACATCTTGCAGCAAAGCTCTTGTCTCCAAAGATAGGTGGCCGACCCGCACAAGCTGGAGGAGGAGCTCAAGATGCAGCCTCAGCAGTCTGGATGATGCCATGCCTCCGAGCTTTGACTTGGAGACACCACTCATAGATTTGTTCAAGAGCTTGGCTTTTGAACTAGATGATGGGAGTTTTCTTAGACAAGGACTTCAGAAGAGTAGTTGGCACAGCCCATGACCACTTTCGCCCTTTTTAGGCGTGCTCACCTTGCTGAGCTCTTGGACTTCAAGCTCCAGGCTGAGCTGAAGAAGGCTCTGCATTGCCGCGATATCTGCGATGTCTGCGTGCGTACATGTGTGTGTGTGTGTGTGTGTGGGCGCGGGTGTGTGTGTGTGTGTGCGTGTGTGTCTCTGTGTGTGTGTGTGTGTGTGTGTGTGTGTGTGTGTGTATGTGTGTGTGTGTGTGCGTGTGTGTCTCTGTGTGTGCGTGTGTGTGCGTGTGTGTCTGTGTGTGTCTCTCTGTGTGTGTGTGTGTCTGTGTGCATGTGTCTGCGTACCCATGCATGCATGCGTGCATGTCTGTATCTGTGTGTGCATGAGTCTGGGTGCCTTTGCGTGTCTCCATAGAGTGTATGTAGGTATGCATACACGTATGCATGGACGTATCATGTGGCTATGTACCTATGTATGTATGCATGCATGTATGTACGCATGCATAAATGTATGCATGCAATGTACATATGTCTGTATACGCATACATGGATGGATATGTTCCTGCGTATCTGGAGAACCATGTTTACAACTCTAGGTATAAGCTTCGTACACATTTGACGGCACATATGATGAAGGCAGCAAAGATCTCCAGACGAACCCTGGGCCTTGAACCGCACTGTGATGCATAAAGCATGATTTTTTGCCATGCATGTGAAACCAGTGCACGATCAGCATGCTGCTATGTACAGCCTGAGAATGCATGCACTGCCTCCGCTCCGTGGAGGGGGGCATCCATCTTGGGTAACAGATTACTTGAGTACACAGCCTTCGCCCTGAACACTGCAACACGAAACTAGGAAACCGGGCAAGCAATTGCTCCTCAGGAAAGTCGTCTGCTTCAGATTCAAAGACAGGTAGACACGCTGTCAGTTTAACCGATAGTGTACCGCCGTAGATACCGAAGATCGCATCCGCCGAGCCTTAAGCCAAAGGCCTACAATTCCAAAACCTCGTGCTCCATTGCCTTAACCTCTTCTTCAGCCATAGACATACACCCCCAACCACCAAGATCTTGAAACCCAAACCCTGATGCCCACACGTTCAAGAGAAACCCTTAAGGCAGACGGCTTACACCGCTCCTCTCTGCTCTTGAATCCTATATGGGGGTTTCCGAAAATAGGGACCCAAATATAGTACCCTAAATAGTAGGATCCCTATTATAAGGACCCAGAATAAGGTACCCCTTGTTTTCGGAAACTCCCATATAGGCTTCTTTCATGCTCCCCCTACTCATCGTCGGGGGCGTCCGTGCTCAAGTCGGAAGCACAGGCTGCTCTTACTGCCCGCACAGCTGCCGTCCCACCTTTCGGGTTTGGGCCAGGCCGTGGGGGTTTGGGCAATAGGACTCTGAGGGATTTAAGACTCTAAACTCTAAGCTCTAGAGGCAGCTATAGAGCTCCGATGGCTTTCAGAACTATAAGACAAAGCAAGGATAATGATACCTCAAACCCTGAAAATCCTGAACTCCCAAAACCCTTAATCGGGTTCCCTGTTGGAGTTATATTCAAGAATGATCATGCTTAACCCTCATATAGGTTTTATTATAACAAAAATGCAAAAAACTGTAACAGGGCCCAAATAAGTAGTCCCTAAACGTATCCTTATGTTAGTCCCTCATAGTACCCCTTATAGTACCCCTTGTAGAACCTCGTATAGTACCCTTTATAGTACCCCTTATAGTACCCTTATAATGGAAGCCATTGCGTGCGAGCTGAGGGCCTCCTGCAGCAGTTGGCGGATCTTTCGACTG